ACACCTTTCAGACAAAGTAAACTGACTCAGGTACTAACACTTGTTGTAACTTTTCAATGGTTCTGTTGTGTGTTACTGATCAGATGCCCAGTCTGATCATTAAACTCCTCTGTGTTTTGGACTACATTGTTCTCATTCTAGGTTTTGAAAGACTCGTTTGTTGGTGACTCAATGACATGCATGATTGCCAACATTTCACCTGGTTACTTAGCAACTGAACACACACTTAATACACTGAGATACGCGGATCGGTAAGTGTCTGTGTACAATGTGTGTGGGATAGGTAATGTTGGATATTAGTTGCTGTAATCTATATCTACTTGGTTTTTTCGTAGGGTGAAGGAGTTGAGGGGACAGGGAGGACTAAGAGGAGGAAGAAGAGGCAAGACAATACCCTCCCCCAAACGTAACCTGTCCAACAGCAACAGCAGCAGTGGAGGCAGCAGTGTTGGCGTCAGAGGGAAAAGTCCCCCTAAAAAGCCAAAATTAGGGAGACAAAGAGAGACTTTTGGCCCAACCACACCTACCACGAAGTTGGCCCCAGGGGGCTCGATTCTCTGCTCCACGCCCAAGAACAGCAGATGGGGAGAGGAAACAAGTGCAAAAGCAAGAGCAAGCAAGGGGTTTGGACAAATTACACCAATCAAAGGTTTTCTGGGAATAAGTGATAAGATCGAGAGGAGGGAGGGAGCAGGTGGGAGGGAAGGTAGAAGAAGAGAAAGGTATGAAGGAACTGACAGTGCAGGTCAATCAACTGAGAGCCACAATGTCAGAGCAGGGCTGGTCTTAGAACAAGCGACAGATGAGCAGATTCACTTGTGGGAGTTACAGAGGGAATCTGGATTCTGCCATAGAGAAAAGGAGAACCAAAGCACTTTGAAAGGGGGAAGAGAGGGGGAAAGAAGATGGATAGAACAGAGAGGACAACTGGAAAGCATTAGAGACAACTGCGGTGAAGTAGAAAGGCAAAGGGAAAAAGATTTACAAAAAGTTGATGAAAGAGATAAGGAAAGGGAGAGGCATCTGAGATGGTATCATCAGCAGCTGCAGCAGTTTATGCCCTCATCTGCTTCTTCATCTGACCATCCCTTCTCATCCTCTACATGTCCGTCTTTCTCTTCTTGTAATCAGGCCTCTCTCTCTTCCTCTGTCTCCCCGTCTTTCTCTTCTTCTCTCCAACACTGTTCCCATCTCTCAGTGTCTCCCCTTATGTGTCATGGTTTGGAAGACATTTTAGATGTGTACAGAGCCAGGGTTCAGGTTAGGGCTAATGGTAGCAGAAGAGAGTTATCTCCCCTTCCCAGTGGAGAGATTTGCTTACAAACTGAAACCTCTCCAAGCTGCAATAAAAATAAGGATGAGGTTGGTCATAGTGATTTACGTGGTACTGGTGAAGATTGGAGGGTATCTTGGGAGGGAACTGAGGCAGAATTTGGACAAAACAGAGGTAAAAGTAAGAAAAGGAGGTCACTGAAGGCGACAAGTACACAAGGAGGGGTAGGAGTAAAGAGTGAAGACTGTAGGCCAGCTGGGGTGGAAGGAGAAGGAGAAAGGAGGTGGGCTTGGGTGGCAACAGAGCAGACAGAACAGGCAGACAAGATGACAGCTGCCAGGCCAACTGATGTAGAGGCACTAATGTCTTACAAGTGTGATTCAGAAGTGGGGGAGGAAGGACTAGATGCCTCAGATGTCCCGACGGACAGGAGTACTGGGGAGCGAGAAGGAGCTGATGGCTACGGTTTAGTGTCCACGCACAGCAATAATGACAGCAACAGCCTCTTTAACCACTTGCCTCTTGAGTCATCCCATCAACGAGCTCCAGCAGAACGACCCCTCTCCCCAGCCTGTGAACATACCAACACACTCCTGACCCCTAATGAACTCAGTGGTCTCCCTCTTAAATTAAAACATACCAGATACAACTCAGACATCCTGCCTCTACCACTGCAAAATGTCCAACAGGGAGTGCTGAGCAGCTGTAGGGCAAAGGAACCATGGTTTGCTGCTAATGCAAATAGAAGAGAATTGTCCAATTCTCAATCAGTCACACTATGTCCCCCTACTCCCAACACACAGAATGGATGTAAAATACCTAGGGAGCCCCTTAATATATTACCTGAAAATCAGATTAACCATTCACAAGTAAAAGCCAAAATATCCATTTTACCCCAAGAAGAGACTTCTACAAATTCTCTCAGCTATATCATGGACCCCCTCAGCATCTCCTTGCTTCAAGTGGATCAACAGGTCGCCACAGACTCGTTCCTCCAAGGGCAACAGAACAACACGTCATTCTGTCTGCTTGAGAATGAAAGGGGAGAAGATAATAGAAGGGAAGTGGAAAAAGAGACCCACCGCCCTCCCAAACCCCAGAGCACACCAGCTATTGAAGTCCTGAGCAGCAAAGCCCCTGCAACCCACTTTAAGCCCTCTACATGTACTTCTATGGAAACTGCTGTCATGCAGTCCATCTCATCCTCTATCCAGCACTCTAGGAACACTGGTTCACTTAGCTCACACAGTCTAATGACGAATGGTGCTACCCAAATGCCACAGAAATATGCACACAATGTGCACAACAAACATGATTTTTCTATTTCTACACCACAGTCAGAAAGTGTCTTGGGCCAGTTGAACACATTGCCAAAGCAGTGTCAAACAAAACATCCAAACCATTCTCCAAACTCAGACATCTCACTCCAACCAAATGGTCCTACAGAATCTAATATTCAAGAGAGCTCCAACAATCAGCAAATTAGACCCATAATCCGTCTGTCTACACTGAAAGACTTGGATTATGACCAGTAAGTACCAGAAATATCACAACTTTGCTTACACAATAATCCTACATGAGTGTTATAGCGTGACATTGCGTTTGAGCAGAGCACACAACGAGCCACAACAACTGGTATTACCACAATTAAATAATGATAATACCCACCTGTGTTTAAAACTGTAAATTAAAAATGTTAATCCTACCAACATGATACAGAAATCTACAGACCTCTTTGGTGGCAGATTTAGAAACATGTTGTATATTTACATGTTGTAATCACATTAGTGGTCATTAGTTTTAATAAAATATCAATAATTAATAATATCTTGTTGTCTGATCCAACCCAGTTTGAGGTCCTGTGTTGTCCAGGCCCATTGGATGCAGCGAGAAGAGATGGAAGCTTTATGTCGTAAAGAGGCGACGCTTCTGTGCCAACAGCCTAACATGGTCAGAATAACTCGAAGCCATGTGTTAGCTCCTTAATTTTTTGCAATTAAATTGATTGCACACTTTTTTCTGTCCTCACTCTCTGTCTCTCTATCTTAACAGGCATTTGGGGAGTATGTCCACAAGCTGGTAGAGATCATGGAGAGAAAGGCTCAGTGTGTCCACAGCATGATATCTCAGCTGCAGCCATATCTTAAGACCAGTCATTCTAACCAACTACACAACCAAGGAGAAGATAATCGTGATTCAATTAATTGAATAAACTAATATATTAAGCACTAATATTTGCATTTTTTATGCACATACATTGAAGAAATGCTATTTATGGAAAGTTTCTTTATGAGTGCACTAGATACAGTATTGGTAGTATGTTTTTATTTTATAAACTGTTCAAGAAACTTAAGCTTTGAGAGTTCACAGGACATATATCACTTCATGGTCTGCAGATTGGTGTGTGTGTGTACGTGTGTTTGTGTTTCTTTCCTAGATGCAGGTGTGTGGGGTGTTGTTTTTTTTCCTCAGTGCTGTATAGATGCCAATTCAGATCCATATAGTATATTATGAAATTCATACATATTTAGTTATTTTAATCACAGTTTGTTGCATCCATCTTTAGATGGAGTTGTATTACACTGCTGTGTAAATGTAGATGACAGGTCTTTAGAAATGAAGTTATTTTAATTGCTGCTATTTATGTACTGTATATTGTATCTTTTAATCTGATTAGTCTGACTAATCATTTTTCCTCAGTTTTGGTCTTTCTTGTTTTGTTTTTTCTAAAAACTACTAATATTGAGTTTTTTATTGTTGTTTTTTTTTTACATGAAACTCACAGCATGTGATCATTTTGAGATATGACCTTGATCAAATCTTTCAGTTTGTAGTTTTAGTCTAATCTAAATCCGTGTTTTACCTGCATCCCAACCAGATTGTCTGAACAAAAACCAGCCCAGCCTGATCAGGGTTGGTCTGTTAAATATGGTCTTGACTGAAATTCTGGCTCTGGAATGAAAATACACTGAACCAACTTGCTTTGCTAACCTCCTTAAAACTTAAGCTCATGTGTCTAATGATCTGTTTACTTGGCAGGTGGCAAATTGTTTGTTTTAGTTCTACACTTTTTTGTGAATAAATTGCAAGATTGTTTTAGTCTTCTGATAAAAGATTGTGACACTTGTAAAGCAATGAGACTATTTGTGTATTTTTGGGTTTCACCTGAGTTGATAAAGCTTCAGAAACACAGTTCTCAGGGTTTAAGACTGAAATAAATTTTATTGATAATCAGATGATGTGTTCTGTGTTATGAAATATTTGTTTTAGGCAGTAGGTGACTTGATAATTGTTTTTTCTGAGTGGGATACTGTACAGATGTGTTGTTTTTACCTCAGTCCATCAAAATTGCCATCATTAATCTAGCTTTAGTCCTTTATTCCACAGAGAGCTGAGGGTGATAGGGTGAATAAAATAAGAGAAGAAGCCAGCCTAAACACTACAGGTTGTTGAGGCTCACCTCAGCTAGTATTGCAACATCATTAAAGAAACTTACACAACCTGTTTTGACTTTCTCGTAGACACAAAAATGAAAGCATGACCCATCTCATTTATATATTATATCAGTTCAAAGGTTGGATGTGTGCTTACTTTTTGCTAAATATGCGGAATTTGACACATAAACGGAGCTTTCACTATTAGTTTTCAGGCGAATTCAGGCTGAAAAACATGTAAGAGCGAAGCGCGCTCCCGGACAAGGACGCGCACGTCAGGGCACGTCAGGGCACGTCGTTAAACCACCTGACCCGCTCGGAGGAATTTGATTGGCGAGTTCGGCTTCACAACGTTGAACAACGGCGCGGTGGGTCACGTGACAGCATCTGCTGCTGCTGGCTGAGCGAAGCGTGTTAGCAGGTAAAAGAAAGAATAAAAGATTTGTTGGGCTAGTATTATCGATTTAAAAAGCAGTTTGAGCGACCCGCGCGTCTTATCGTGTGTTTAAGAAAAACGAGTTTCAGTAAAGTCGATCGGCCGGTCCAGAGAAACCGTTCGTCCTGTTCGGTGGTAATCTAAGTGTAAGTTAGCTGTTAGCCAGCGTTGTATCCGTACCGTAGTGCTGCATTGTACGCCGACGGGCCGTTCACATGCCGGGGCAGGTATCGGTCGTAGCTCCACATTAACGAACCACGCGTCTTCAGACAACTTCCCCCCCCCCCCCGGTTTCACACCCGCACTACATTTCTGGTACGACCGTGGTTAATGTAAATGTAACACGCGGTGTGTGGTTTCAGTTTTGTTAACCTCTCGCTAACTTTAGCTAAATTAGCTTTTCTCCCGGTTCACACAAAAGGGTAACCTCTTCGCACTTGTCATATCTGTTTATTATTATTTTTTTTTAAGGCTCCTGTGTCGGTGGGGCTTAACAAACACAAATCACACTGGCGGACAGGTTATTCACTGTGTGGTTACTATGCCAACATGTCCAGTACATATAGCGTTGTAACGGTCGGAATCGTGTGTAACGCACACGGAACAAAGACGAGCCGTTAGCCACGCTAAAGCTAGCTCGAGCTACGCGACCTAACGCTTATGTGACCGTTGGTCCGTGCGGCTCATGTTACCGTTGAGCTGCTTTTAACGGTCACCGAAATAAGATGACGGATCAGTCATCGCTTACGGTAGCAACGGAAAACACACAGATAACGGCAGCTATTTTATACATTTAACGTCCTCCCCTCCTCCCGTCAGCCAACATTGTCAGATTTTTTATTTTTTTCATACAATAGTGTGATTAAACCGGTGGATCGTGTGACAAGTTGTCAGTTTGAGGCGTTATTAACTAACAACCAGTTACTGTATGTAATCTAATCTAATCTAATCCGGGGTAGTTTCCATGGACACCGTTTAGCTCTAGCCCGATACAAAGCACAGGCTTTTTGTGCTTAATCATTTAAATCAACTGGCAAATGACTCGCTGTCCTGGCGTCGTCGATGTGGGGGGAAAAAGTTGTATAATTAACACTACCCATAACACAGGCTGCTAGTGCATGATCATGTTTTTTTATTTGTGTGAGAGCGACTGAGGGAGGATTGTAAATGGACACCCAGACAGTCCCCTCTTGGCTAAATTTAACTGTGGAGGTGGGGGGGTGACAGATGGAGTTATAGTCTTACATGGTGGAGTCTCGGTCTGCTTACATTCAGTATATTGTATTCGCATTGGACATTTATTTAGTGTTGCATTTTTACTGGGGATTGCGATGCGTGATGTGATCTCGTAGGTGGCCGTCGTTTTCACTTTGCTTCTCTCCCCCCCACAGATTTTTCTATTTTGTACATACATTGTTTTGTATATACTGTATATGATGACTTCAGTGGTCAGCAATCAAGCCCGGGGGACTCGGGACAGGACACTTCCCGCCACCACACAAACAACACAGCCACAGAAACAGATACAGGTAGGTTTTCACCGTTGTACATACCAGGTTACACACACACCTGAGGAATTGTCCTGCTCAATTAAAGCTATTTAAAGTAAAATGTAAAAGCTGACTGAAGTGTCTTTCATTGCGTTCAGTCTTGTGGTCTAATGTGTTTTAATATGAACATGAGGCCGAGTATCATTTGTTCTACTGTGTGGGTTTTTATTGCTTCTTACTGAACTCTGTTTGTTTCAGGCCACAGCAGAACAGATTCGTTTAGCCCAGATGATCTACGACAAAAATGATGCTGACTTTGAAGACAAGGTCAAACAGGTAATGTGTGTGTTTTGGGATGAACAGTAGGGATGTCGCAAGAACCGATACTTTGCTACCAAAAAAAATCTGAAGAACGGTACTTGTTTTTCTACACGGTGCCGATGATGCGATTCTCATATGCACCTACAAAGTTGTCTAGTTGGCCAATAAATGCAACAGGAAGCATGTCAGACGGCAACAAGTGCAGCTTTACAGGTGATTGCGAAACTTTTGTGGACAGTGCTCGCTCATCGTCTATCTCCTCCGTCGGTGTCTCAGCCCCGCCCCACGGCGTTGTTTCACTGCGGGGCGGGGCTGAGCTTCTGTTCAGAGAGCTGCGTACTCGCACTGCAACGAGCCAAAGCAAACAAAAAGCAAATAACAGTCATTTATTATTGTAATCCATGCAAAAGATGTACAGGCAAGGAAAATAAACACTCCCAGCACAGCAGAATACAGTTCACTCAGGTAACTCAGGACACTTTTAAAGGGAGAGAGAAATTCTTCTGGGCAAAAAAACTTGATTGGGACATTTTTGCCATGGTATCGGTATCAAATTGGGTTTTGACAATCTGTGAATTTCACTGGTGTTAGTATCGACTACTAAACTTCTGGTATCGTGACATCCCTAATGAGCAGCGTATTTTATTATCGTTGTGTCACATGTCAGTGTAATTAATTAATGCCTTTCTTTTTTTTTACACTCAGCTGATTGAGGTAACTGGGAAGACCCAAGATGAGTGCATGGTCGCTCTGCATGACTGCAACGAAGATGTAAACAGAGCCATCAATTTCCTGCTGGAGAGCACATCTGACACAGTAAGAACGTACACACACACTGTTCATTAAGGGTGCTCCCATTGATTGGTCACCGATCGTAATCTGCGATCTCTAAATGCCATTCAGAAGATCAGAGTTGTTTTATTCCACAAGAAGGTTATTCACTCGCATATTTACTCGGGTGGGTCATCTTCAAGCTTCCTCATTAATGCACGGTTCACCTGCTGCTACGAAACATTCAAAACAAAGTAATGGAGCAGACGCATACTGCGTGTTTGTGTGTATGTATATATATATAGAGAGAGAGAGGTGGGATGGTGCAGGCCTGTGTAGGTGTGTGCGTTCACTATAAACATAAGGCTTTAAATAGATCGGGTGATCCGTATCGGCCTCAAAAACTCTGATCAGAGCTCCTTTAATCCACATTGTACTTGTGTTCACATGTCTTATAACAATTCATCTGTTTTGACTGAAAAACTTTGAACCATGCACAGTTTTAGTCACAATATAGATGAATTATAAAGAGTCAACCTCATTCTTTGGTTAACCTTTGTCAGAACTCCTGGGAGACTGTGGGGAAGAAGCGCAGCCTTGGGAAAGAAGGAGGACCCTCAGAGATAAAGGAGAGCAGGGAGAAGAAAGGAGGAGAGAGGGAGGCCAGTCGTGGACGTGGGGGGTCCAACAGGAGGGGCAGAGGCATCAGCCGAGGGCGTGAAGGTAAGGAAGGGAAGAAAGATGTGATTGTGTGTGTGTGTGTGTATGTTCCTTGTCAGTCTGTTAAAATGGCGTTCTCTGTATTTTGATGTATCTATGAACTGTCAACTCAACTTTGCCCTGATTTGTTCAAGTTGAATTTCACTGCACAGTTAAGAGGTCTTTCTCTTGGTTCAGTGTTAATATTATGAGTTTTTAATGTCTTAATATCCTTCTTGTTGTTTCTTGTTGGATTACAGGTCGGTTAGAAGAGAATGGGTTCGAGGTGGCTCCTGGAGAGAGAGGAGGAGAGAGAGGAGGAGAGAGAGGAGGAGACCGCGGACGCAGGGGGCGGGGCAGAGGTGAGCCAAACAGAAAATGACCTCTTCAAAGCTTATTGTTAAATTTTGGTTGTGCAAAGATGATCCCGTTAATGTAGAGGTTTCAAAAACTGAAGAAAACATGAAGTTTGTTTGGTAAACCAAAACATTTTCAAGGCAAATCTATGATTGGAGCCGTAAGATGTAGTGGAAACACCACTGACTGTACTTTGGGCAACCCTACGGTTCCCCCCCTTTTGTTTCTCCCCCTTTTTATTTTTTCAAACAGGACCGTGAATAGCTAATTGTAATATGGTCTGTTATTTGTTAACTACAATCTTTAGATAGGGCATTGGCACAGATGTTGTTGTGCATGTTTTGGTGATGTAACTGGCAGCATATCTATTTGTGTCTGCAAGCATTTAGAGTATTGCAGCACTTAACATGTGTGGAATGTGCTCAGTCCCTGCAGCTGTGTGTGTGTGTATATGTACGTACGTGTGTGTGTGGTGGGGGATGGTTGGCGTTGGTAGAAAAAGATTGAAACAAATGTAAAGTAGTAGAATTTGGCTAGACTTGTTAGCTTTTTTTTTTTTTTTAACAGCAAGTGACCTAAGAAAGGTCAGGACATGATTGAGAAGAGTCAGATGGCAGGTTATGTTTTAAAAGCAGAGAAATGCTTGTAAATGTTGACTGTTAAATATCTTAAAGGTCCAGTGTGTCGGATACAGTGGCATCCAGCAGTGTAGTTGCAGATCACAACTCTCACTTCAGCTTCCAAGGAAAAAAGAACAAAAACGGAAAATGCCCCCGATCTAAAGATCTAAAGCCATGTTTCTATACCAGAACGAACAACCAAACACCGTCCGAGCGTTTTCTTTTCTCATTCCCAGGCTGCAAATACAGATGTGAGCAGTGTTCAGTTAGGTGCAGTCTGAAACTTCACCAATAGATGCCACTAAATCTTACACACTGGTCCTTTTTAACTTAAAACCTTGAACCAAAAGTGAAACTTTACTTCAAGATATTCTTTGGCTGTCTTAAAAAGCACTTAAATAAGAGTTGAGGTTTAAAGGGACCTGAGGTCAACTGGTTGTCTTGTGTGTGTCCTCAGGGGCAGGGGTTCGCGGTAGAGGAAGAGCAGCTGCTGGCAACAGGTTCTCCACCCAGGGAATGGGGTAAGAACATGTGTTTAGTTTGAATCTTGAGCCTGAAGTCAGATGAGGAGGTGGTGATGGTGATTACAAGCACATATCTTAAAAACAAATGTGTGGAAAAACTTAAGTTTCTGAATCTCCTCATTCAGTAGCAGCAACAGACCAGACATTATCCTCTTCAGTTTCCTTTATGTTGGCTCACCATCCCAACCTGTCTGCTCTTTCAGCACCTTCAATCCTGCTGATTACACGGCTAACTCTGGAGCTCGCCAGGAGACGTGGGAAGGGGACGGCAACGAACCTGCTGAGGGAACTGGTAAGGAAAATAACACACTTTTGCTGTGGAATGTTTTTTTTAATTGTCAGCTTGAAAGTAAACCCCTCGTTTGATGTTCACTTGCCCCAAATAAAGTAAAACTCAGGCTGAAATTGACAAATATTGAAAAAACAATCTTTGTTTACGACATCTAAGCCTTTCTTACCCTTGGGTGTGCCTAAACTACAGGTTTTTAACCTTTTTAAAAATCAGAAATGATTGGTTATCTTCAGTATTGGCCACGAGAAGCTGGATTGGATTCAGCGGCATAAATTGTATGTTAAAGTAATGCAGTCATGGTGGTATATACCACTGCTTTAGGGTGAATGATTGTTTAGACTATGAGTAGTAATTTTGCTGCTGTTTTTTATTCTTTTAGGAACATGGGGAGGCAATCTGGAAGACTGGAATTCAGAAGACTGGAACGAGGATGTAAGTCAGCACTTAACCTACTAAATCTACGCTGGCCTGCCTAATGTCTTAATGGTTATTGACATTAACTTGCTTAATACTATCGGTGAAGAGTCAGATTTTATGTGGTTTAACTATAAAAATGTCACTTTGAATGGTTGTTTATATACAGTAAGGCACACGATGTGTTTGTGTGGTGACTGCGTTTGTTCTTCCTGTCTTTTCTCAAAGTTGTCTGAGACCAAAGTATTCACTGCCTCTACTGCTCCAGCAAACCACATCACACCTGGACACAAGTAAGCCCCTCTGCCTAAAAACACCACGGACAACAAGCTTTTTTTTGGAGAATAACATTTTATTTAATCTGTCCGGTTATCTTCTCCTCGACTTTCCTCCCCAAACCTCTTTTTCTCTCACTCTTCCTGCACTCTTCTCTCCTGCCTCTCAGTGTGGACCTGGCTAGCCTACTGCCTAAGCCTGGAGTGGCTGTAGGGGGTTCTATGGACTCTGACTTGGTGGCAATAGTCGACGGGCCCTCAGCCGAGGATTTGGGCCAAAGCCTGGTGTTTACCAATTCCCACCACAATGGACGCACTGCAACACACAGCTACGCACACGCCACCGCCAACAGCTACGCCCATGCCGCCTCTGCTGGTACCACCTACGCGCATGCTGCACTGGTACAGACAGCCACACGTACACACACACTTACACATGTGCAAACACTTCGTCTTTACGTGGCTACACGCTGATATGTGATCAGTGTATTCAGTTCTCATTTTGTTTCTCTCGTCCTTCTAGTCCTCAGTTCTAGGTTCTGGTTTTGGGTCCCTGAATGCACCTAAGCCGACATCTGCCTCTGACATGAGGACACCAGAGCAGCTCAATGGGCCTCGGCTTGGTCAGAGAGCCAGTCAGACGTCGGGCACCACCAGCATCAGCAGTGTTTCCAAAGATGCAGGACCACCTCCAATACAAAACCCTGCTCCTGCCTCATCTCCTTCTGTCGACATCAAGGCTCAAAGAGTTGAGAATGGTCCTGTTACTGCCCCACACTGTAAGTCTCAAAGTAAATACCAACACTGAAAAGAAATGTAAGACTTTTATATCTAAACTGATTGTTAGTGATTGCAGTATAGCTATGAATTTATGTTTATCCACTTATCCTCTTTTCAGTGGAAATGAAGCTTCAGCCAGAGCCATCAGCGGTGCTCAGCCAGCTTGCTCAGAGGCAACAACAATCCTCCATCCTTCACACCGCGGAGCCTCTGGGCCTGTCTCATTCACATGCCCCACAGGTCCCCACACCGCCAGGTAGGACTGCAGAACAGTATCATTCTTAGCCATTAAAGGTGTATTTGCACACCATCCCACATGACATTAGAGCTGCAACTCAACTAATTAATAATTGGATTAATAGTACAGCATCAGAGGATTGTGTACGTGACCCACTGAGCTGTTTGAATAACCACAATATTGTGTCAAATTGTAGCTGATCCCCATTTTCACTGTCCAGCTCTGACAATTATGATTTTATTGCTGTGTTTTAAACATTGTCAATGGGACTGCTGCCTTCAATCTCCTTCAGGTCACGAGTCCTCCATCGCTCCTGTAAGAGATGGAGCCTCTCCAGGAGTGAAGCTGCCAGGCATGGAGCCTCCCATCACAGAAGCCCCTCAGCGGCAGCTAAAGACACAGAGACGCAGAGTACCTCCTCCCTCAAAGGTAAGCTCTTCTGATATCTGAACCTTTTACCAAACAAAAGAGCAGTATTCCTGGCAAGACCTGGTAGAAACTGAAAGTCTCTCACATGTTTGACAAGCCAGCTAGCTGACTGGACAGACTAAATAAAGTAGTTTTTTCAAATTATAAAATATTTCAGAATTGAATAAAAGGATACTAGCCAGTTAGCATCTTCGTTCATTGTTGACGAAAAGTCAATTTTGCGCGTTTTAACTTAATTTCGATAAAGATTTGACACATTTTGCAGAAACTAACTTAATTTAATCAAACTGATGAAATGTATATACGCAGTAGTACTTAATTCCCTCTTTGTCTACCTCAGATCCCGTCGTCAGCAGTGGAGATGCCGGGCTCAGCGGATATATCTGGCCTGAATGTTCAGTTTGGAGCTCTTGACTTTGGGTCTGAAGCTGGCACTGGAACGGTAGACATGGCGCGTACCGAGTCGGCCAGGGAGCAAGCCCCGACTCAGGCTCCAGCTCCCGTGCCTGTCCCTACTGCTGTTCCCACTCAGCAGCCACAAAGCAGCCTGTTCTCCAAGCCAGGGTCTATGAGGTGTGTGGGTTATTTTAGGTAGTGTGTCTGAGGCACACTAATTTTGTACATGTGTATTTATTTAGCTGCCTGGCAAGAAACCTTAACAACCATTCAAGAGAGTCCTGCAAAAAACAGAGCACTCACTGCAGCCATGGGCACAAAATGTATTAAAGAGCTAAATGGGTTTAGAGACTGATTATATTATTCTTTCTCTCTGTCCTGCGAACAGTGAACACATGAGCAGCTTATCCACCTTACCCTCAGCCGTATCGGATCCCAGCTTCCCCTCACCATCCTTGGGCCTTCCCAGTGCCACGCCCTCCCCCTCCCTGGGTCTTCCCAGTGCAGCCACTCCACCCTCTTCTACAGCTCCTACAGCAGGCAGTCGGGTGGAGAGCAGTGGCCCAAGGTCCCTGCCACCTCACATGGGTTACTCTCAGAGCAAAGATGCCTCAGCTGCTGCTCTCACAGTGAGGAAAAACCTTTTTCTCTCATGCATAAATGACCAAATGACAAAAAAGGATGTAGACCACCTGCTGTTATTTCTGATTAACACCTGACAAAAAGCAGATTTTATAAAACAGACTTGTATCATTTCTTCTTATAGAATGGCTACAGTGGCATGAAGACGCAGAGCACACAGGACAGTAAGTACACTCAGCATTGTCGGTTATAGAGAACAGCACCGGAGTGGCCAATAAAACCCCATATAATGAATATTGATTGCTAAATGCATCTGATAGGAACTGGAAATAGTACTGTCTGTGAAAGTGGATGAGGTTTGATATAGACCAGCTCATACTCAACCCATCTTTCTCATTCAACATAGTTTCATTCTTTTATTCCTCCTTCCACAGTCAGTTTGATAACCATACAGATAAATGTATAGTAAATTAATCTTATCTCTCTTTTTTTCTTTCTTTTCTAGCTACATCAACGTCTAGAACAGTGAAAACGGAGTCTCCTGTTATGACGAGTGACAGCGGCCCCAGCCACCACATCCCCTCCCCTGCGGTTACACCTTCCCACTCAACACCTGTCCCCTCACTCAGCAGGTAAGGGATGCATTTTATAGGGCACGCTGATTTTCTTCCCTTTTTTTTTTTTTACCCTTTTCTGTCTGGAGATAATGATGGTTACAAGCACATATCTTAATCCTGTATGTGGAAATACATTTGACTGAATCCTCCACCTTCCTGTGCAAAGTACTTCTGTTGCTTCATCAGATTTAAACAGGCTAACAGAAGCATTGTACTCTCTTTCTAGTCACGTGACCAGTACTCATTCATCTGGATCAGTCCTTGCCACAAGCTCCTCCCTCACTGTAAGTGTTTCGTATATTTGCTGAAAAATTTGGACACAAAACAAACGTTTTTACTAATGAAGACGTCCGTGCTTTGATCTACGGAGCTGGTTCTCACACACCCTCTCTCCTCTTGTCCTTTTTCCATCAGATAAGTAATGAGGAGAGCAGCAGCAGCGGTAATCTCCATGCCTTTTCATCGTCGTCGTCCAGCCAAGCTGTCCATCCCAGTCCTTTAGCTACCCTGGCTGTCAGCAGCTCAGCATCCAATGGCCTGCATCCATCTGGAGCACCGGGACTAACTCCTAATGGCACAAACAGCACACTCTCAGCTGGCAGCCGGACGGCACCCCTGCTCACCACCACCTCCGGTAAGCTCAGAGGAACTTACAGAACGTTCTTTAAAATAAATAAATATACAGCTTCTCAACACAGTTAAATTAATCAGGCTGTTACTCAACTGTAAGATTGTATGGGTCATAACAAATTCACTAATAATTTCTTGATTAAGTTTAACAAAAAATAACCTTGTTTGTCTTCCTTTGGCCAGGCAAATTTCTCCTCCCAACTTGGCCCAAGGAGTGCCCGCCTCTCCTTGGCACCAGTACATCATGGGCCCTGGTGGGCTTGCTCCCTCGCTTACCGGTAACTTTATGCTATACATATATATTACTTGTTTTGTGTGTTAATTAGGTCCCTGGGTCTTTTGTAAAGGCGGAAACAGGAGTTTTATCACTAAAAACAAGATGATGGGGTGTCCTCTTCATTTTGAGCGGTACATTGAATTTGAACACATTACAGCAGTAAGTTTACGCCTTTTTCTACAAGGAGCTTTTCAGTGATGATGATTTGTTTTAGTAGGTTCTGATCAAACATGATTTCTATGGGACGCACTGATGCTGGATTAAAGCATGGTGTAGAAAAAAAATTGGAGATTAAGTTAAAATGGAGTTTACATGTGGATTAATCATCAGTTCTTTCCTCCGTTATCTTTACATCAACAGCAGATCTATGGATATGAGGACTTGCAGATGCTGCAGTCTCGCCTTCCCATGGTGAGTCTGTTGTGATTGTTGACTTTGGCCTGCTGCATATTACAGATATTATAGTTTTTTTTTTTTTTTTTTTTTATTTAAATCAGAAAATGACTTTCAAATAGTTACTGTATATTGCTTTTCTTCTACCATAAAGAAAGTAACCAATCATAATCTGTATCCTCTTTTTATTGTGTCTCAGTACCCCTCCATTTCCAAAGTAGTATTAAAATGTACTGATGGAAAAAGCAACAAAATGAAATAAAATGTTCTTCCCACAGGATTATTATGGTGTAACATTCCCTGGTACTACGGCTGCCATGCCTGGAAGAGATGGCCTGACCAATAACCCATATTCTGGTATGTCAAAGTGTGTGTTAGACTGTGTACCCCTTGTATAATGTTTCAACACAGGCTGTTAACTCAACACTGTACTTTGTTTTTTGGTGGTTTCTTTGTTAATTCATGTTGGTTTCTTAACAGACCAGAAACAGGATCTTTTTTTACCTCTGTTTTGTCTTTTTTTGACCTCTGTTTTGTCTTTTTTGACCATTGTTTTGTCTAGGTGAGGCGACAAAGTTTGGAAGAAATGACTCTTCATCTCCGGCTCCCCCAACAAGCCTGTCTACAGCTGGAGTGCAGTCGCAGCCCCAACAGGCTCCGCAAGGAGGTACACAGGGGCAAGGCCAGGGACAGAACCAGGGTCAGCAAACGCAGAACCAGGCCTTTCTCAACCCCCCCCTGCCTCCTGGCTACGGATACACTGGTAAGGAAAAAGCAAAATTAAACTGTGAAACTGGTGGCTGTTGAGTGGACTGCAGTCAGCATCCTGTTGATCGCGCTCACTCTGTACACAGTCTGTAGGTGAGAGCACGCGTCATCCTGGGCACCAGCTCAAAGTGGCATACACTAGACTGAGTGCTGGAAAGTTTAGGATAATGTTACTACCTGTTTTATTTGTATCATTGGCTCAATTATACTAACTAGCTTGCTGTTTGCAAATCTACCCTCAGCCGACACCACAAAGCAACTGATTCTGGGCCAAATCTGGCAACTGCAGCTGACAAAGTATCCTGCAAACGGGCCAAATCTGCTTATCCCTGAGTCTGAATAATTTGGCTGACGTTATCAACTCATGACAATAACTTGCTTTGCTAGTTAGCAATTTGTCTGCCTTAGCAAGCAAGCGAATGAGACTCATCTAAAACCAGAATATATTGTACAAGCTTTGCAGTAATGTTAGTTTTAACTTAAGACTTTGTGTTGTACTCTGTGTAGGAATTAGTGGACTGTTCATACTGTAAGGAAGCGAAGAGAGACAGCACTCGATAGCACACATAACGTCACATCCTCTGTATGTTGTGGGAATGTTATTTTTGGCTTGTTTAAATGTTTATAAGGAGTCTGTTAAAATCAGAGTACTTAAAGCTAGAAAGAGAAATCTTCAAATTTAACTGCTTTCTGCCAGTAAAGCCCAAAACTTGTTGAGGGAATGATTTATTTTCTAATTAAGCAGTTTAAAAAACTGATTATTTCACCTTGAGTCTGTGTAGACTGAGATTATGTGGCACTGCCCGATAACAAAAGGATGATGCAAGTGCAGTGAAAGCAGATTGCTATACAACTAACTTGCCATCTCACAGGTCTGCCGTACTACGCTGGTGTGCCGGGAGTTCCCTCCGCCTTCCAGTACGGCCCCACCGTCTTTGTGCCTCCTGCTTCGGCCAAGCAACCTGCAATGGGCCTGGCCAACCCTTCCAATCAGTACCACCAACAGCATCAGCCCAGTTACGGACAGCATGCATATGGCACAGGTAAGACCAGGTCGAAACAAGAAGGCTCTGTCACTGCTCTGGCTGATGTTGTTTTCAGACAATTAACATCTTTGCAGAGTCAAGTGACTGTAAAAGGTTTCCCAGTGAAGATTATATCCAAAAAATTTTAATTCGGCTTTTAAATTGTCAAACTATCTCAGTACCACAAACTGTCACAGCAACCTGCCGCGAAAAGTAGTCGGGCAGGTTACTTGATTGACTTCAACAGTTGGACGAGTTATGGTGACAGTCGTACATCAGCTGGACATTTACTTTTATGTGACGTGTGCACAAAAGTACACATTACAACACCATATTCATTTTTGTTGTCTCATGTATAGCAACAGTTCGGTACGGCTGTTTTACAAGTACAGCCGTTGTAAAAGAGACAG